GAGCTTTCTTTTCTGAACAAAGGGTGTGTAAAAACTGTCCAAATATTTTATATTTCCGAATGCTTTCGGATATACCTTTAGCCATTATCAAGGATGATTCGATTTTTCAGCTTAATTGAGTGTGTGCGTTATGTGTATGTCTTAGTGTGTGGTAGGAATGTTTTTAATTTCCGAATACGGTTAGCACATTGTTGCTTTGTTCGTAGTTAATATTGTTAAGAGTTGGCTTTTTCTTTTTTATTATTAAAGCTTCCATTATTTTTAATCTATTTTTTGAAGGTGGATGCAGTTAATATATTTGTGTTTTTCTACTAGTATGTTTCAAAGGAATTCGGTAAATTTTTGTGTGTGTTTAAATGGGTTCTAATGGAGCTGTGATCAGATAGGTGTAACGTAAGACGTCTGGATAAGCATATGGTTGTGTAACCGATGTAATTATTTATGAGCCCGGTTTGATGAGGAACACAGTTTCTAAAGGGACATTTGAACTCATAGATAATGTTCGTTCTTTGTAATTTTGACTTAGCTGGTGTATTGTTATTTTTGAGGATAAGGTTAGCTGTCTTAAACTTTTTATAATAGATAATTAATTTGATTTTTTTATTCGGATCAATAGGAGTAGTATATTTCTTTATAATATGCCTTAGTGAAATTCGTCTTGTTTGTAATTAATATGCATTTAGTAATAAGTGTGTATGTGATTTTTGACTGTGTGTTCGCTATCGTTATTACTTGCTTTGGGGAGAAATAGTCTAATTTGGTGGTCTATAAGGTGGTTAGGCTATTTGGTGGTCTATAAGGGGGTTAGTATTTGTTTAACATTATTAAGCAAGAAAAATTAAATAAAAAGCTTAACCGTAGTACCTTGTCAGTCGTTTTTAATGAAACATGCATAAACGAAGGATTGCTGCATATATATATATATATATATATATATATATATACCAATTTACATGATTCGGATTATTGTCCTCATCTTTGTTGCCATATTTATCACAACATTTCGGTCGTTATACACTCCGGCCTTCTTCAGGTGGATGGAATGTCGAACTGAACCTTTTATTTCGCTCGCTGGGGTAGACTGTTCTAGTTCCACGTGACATGTCTAATGGATGTCAGTTATGAGTTATCTCCTAAACGTTGCGATAAATATGGCAACACGGATGAGGACAGTAGTCCGAATAATGTAAATAGTGTACATAATATCTCATCTCAGAAATATAAACAGATACTGAAAGGCCGAAACGTTGTAATAAATATTGCGACAAAGATGAGGACAATAGCCTGAATAATGTAAATAGTGTACATAATACCTCATCTCAGAAATATAGACAAATACTGAAGGGTCGAAACGTTGTAATAAATATGGCGACAAAGATGAGGACAATAGTCCGAATAATGTAAACACTCACGTGAATAAATGCACATATTAAAACGGGTTTGAATAATAGTCCATTTTTTTTGCTCAAATTTCGGGTAAATTAAGTTTTATATACCGGCTCCGACAAAATCTCGTAACACTTTTCAATTGGCGGCATTTGAATACGAGATCTTGATTGGCACGAGACTGAACTCTATGGTATTTATGCCTTTTCTGAACATTTTGTAACATCTGAACGCGTCTTTTTATATACGATTCTTTTAATGGGGTTTTTCGATAATCCTGTACAAGTCACTTACACCAAGTCATCACCCAGAAAAATACTAAATTCTGGGAGAATGGGATCATAAAGCTGCCTCAAAGATAGCAAAAGCTAAAACTATAGCAGATATATTGTTAAAGAAATGTGTGGGAAAACATCTAAATATTGTCTATGAAATTCAATTCAAAAAACGTTACGAATTTTGTTCCGATTTTAAATATATTGTTTAGATATTACTCGCAATAATTATGCTTACAGGTCATCATCAAATTCATAAATTCATACCAAAAAGAACTGAGGTAGTTCTGAAGGCAAAAGCAGATCCATCCCAGTATTAGAAAAGTTAATCAATAAAATAACTGGTGAATATATATATATATATATATATATATATATATATATATATATATATATATATATATATATATATATATATATATATATATATATGCGTCTAGAGATTATATGCAAGTTATGAATTGGTATAAAGAGTTGCGTCTTTCATGTTAAAAGTCCTATTATGATGTTGTTTAGATTCTACTCTATATTATTAACTTAGATGTATAGTGATAGAGAAAACTATTGTTTTTGGTTGGAAAAATTTTTACTAAGTTAACAAAACAGACTAATTTGACTGACAGTAGTTTATTTGCAGCTATTTATTTTGATACTTCTACATTATTATACCTTGTAAAACTAATGTAAAAAATAATATGAAAAGATTTTAGAACAAATTCGTCAATTTCTAAAAGAAAAAAACATAAAAAAAAATTTTATTTTAAAAATATTATTAACAAAAAATAATAAGAATTCCTGAATTAAGCCTGAGACTTTTTTTTTCCTTGGTTGAATTCCCATTTGACATATTTTCTTGATTGTTCGATGATCCCTTTTCAAATCCTTAGAAATTTGAAGCGAAGAATTTCCTTTGCTAATTTCTTTCATTACATAGTTCTTTTCATTCATTGTTAGTTCTTTTTTACGAGCCATAATACTAAATTCTAGTTCTTGCAAATAATCTCTTGACACTGCAAATTGCTATAATTACTGAAAAAATACTAAATATCAATCTGAAATTGAAAATTGGGACTTAATTGCTTTCATGCTTACTCACTATATATAATAGTACAAATTATTTCATTGGATAACACATATCTATGAATTTTACATAAAATATTTGACAATACCTCTTTTGCATATAATCTCTAGATGCATTATATATATATATATATATATATATATATATATATATATATATATATATACAGACCTGAAGATTGTGTTCAAGCATAAAACAGACTCTCGCTATTCAGTGCCCCTTTTATATTTCATACGCTCCCTCTCTGATACTGAGCACTTTTAAGCCATAAATCTAACATGCCTCAAAATTATATTTTCATCATATATATATATATATATATATATATATATATATATATTGAACACACACACACACACACACACACACACACATATATATATATATATATTGATACCTTAAATGTACGTCATGTATTTTTAATTTTTTTCATTACCAAACCTAAAAGCCTTAAAAAGAGTCATTTATTAAAAGTCCGTGAGCTTTTTTTATTATGAAACTATTCATATCATTTACCATCAGATATCTTTCAAATGACTATACTTATTCTAGTAACGAGTGTTATCAAGATGGCAACCTAAAATTTGATTGTGAGTGTCTACTGAAGGAATTTGTAGCAGCCCGTAAACGATGTGCAACGTTAAATTTCGTGACAGTACTTGTAAAAATTGTTTCAGAGTGTATTCATTTGAAAGGACGGTCTGTAAGCATTGCTGATAACTTCCATTGAATATGATCTCTTTATACGAATTAAATGCTTACATTTAAGATTCACCAGAAGCGATGGATTTATATGGACGCCCCTAAAGCGCATCGACAAAAGATTCATTTTGGGGAAATGGGTGACTCGATAAATTTACCGAATAAAGCAGACAAGAAAAATGGACGGAAATATTTTTTGGTTGCCTAATATTTTCTTCTTGAAAAGTTAATATTTTCATTAAACATTATCATACGCCTAGATAGTCGCTCATTCACATAGTCAAGCAGACGCATGCACATAGACAATCCCAGATACTTTAACACACACACAGACACACACACACAGACACACAGAGACACACACAGAGACACACACACACATTTATTTCATTATGGAGCACACCGATAAGAATTGCCGATAGTGTAGCGGTTCTCGACGCGGAAAGTGGAATTAGCGTTCTGAGTTCAAACTCTGGCTTTGTCCACTGTATTCACTTTCGTGTCAATGCCTCTGAGAAAGGCATATGTAATGCTCCATTCCTTTTTAGGCTCGACTAGCAGAGGGTAGATTCGAATCTCCAACATTCGATGGCGACAAGTTAAATAGAAGGACAACTCTGAATTCAAAACTGTGAAAAAGGGGACTGGAAAGCACGTGACTAGTTTTCATAGTAATTGACGTATTTTAAAAAGAAAAGGAAGTTGTGGTGAGCCATGATCGCTTACGTCCTGAAAGGATATGGCATTTAAAATTAAAAAAAAATACTAGTAAATGATCTGACTAACGATAGCTTGATGACAGACATCCTTTTATGATTCTTGTGTATATGTTTGTGTATATGTGCAAGTGATTGTTTGAATGCATGTGTGTGCGTGTGTGTTTGTATATATATATATATATATATATATATATATATATGTGTGTGTGTGTGTGTGTGTGTGTAGGAGCGTGTACATGCAGAACAGAAATCTGTATGCGGATGAGCGAGTATCTGGGCGTATCATAATGTTTAACGAAAATATTAACTTTTCCAGAAGAAAATATTTATTAGGCAGCCAAAAATATTTCGGTCAATTTTTACTGTTTGCTTTATTCGCTAAATTTATCGGTCACCCATTTCCTCAAAGTGCATGTTTTGCATGCATATACATACGATGCTGCAGATGCACTTGTATATTTCCTTCGTTTTTGTACAGATATATAAATTTAGTATATATATATATATATATATATATATATATATATACATACATACATATATCTGTACTGTACATTTTTACATACATGCTCAATAAAATAATTGAATACACATTGCTGTATATACATAAACATTTTATCTCGACTTAGTAATTCCTTGAGATATATATATATATTTACACATTCTTGTAGATGCCTACACATATTTGCATACACATTGTTATACACATTCCTACGGATACATACACTCTTTTATGCACATACATGCAGACATAGAGGCATTTGTAGTGTAGAATAAAGCGAAAGCCTGATGAAAAATGGAGACAATAATGAGGGGTTTTTTTTTCTGTTTGTGCAGCGTCTTTGATTGAAGCTTCTGATGATGAAATGGACGAAGAAGAGACGACGCCTCCGGAGCGCCTTAAACCGAGAGTCAGTTCGTTTATGATCAAAAAGCGGGTGCTGAAGCCGGAAGAGAATGGGCAGATACCAAATGATGAGGAGTCTAAAATATTATCCAGATCTCACTCTGAGGTAAGTTCAACCTATCTATCTATCTATCTATCTATCTATCTCTCTATTCATATCTATCTATCTATCTATCTATCTATCTATCTATCTATCTATCTATCTATCTCTATTCATATCTATCTCTCTATCCATCTTACCATATTCATATCTATCTATCTATCTAAATACGACTACAGAAAGATAAAATTGAACGCATTTTTTCTTTTAGCAGTTCCTCAAATATTCTACTATTTTAGATTCAGTTTTTATTTTAATGTTTACCTTTTACTGAAGTTTCGGGCATTTGTTAAAACATAGATTTCCCTGGTATTTGTAGGTTCAAACTCTGGACCAGGTATCGTGGTAAATGTAAGAAATGGACAAGTGATGGAAAAAGGGGAAGAAAAAGGAGATATCTCCTCAGCACAGAAAGCAAACGAGAACAATATGTCGTCGTGAATTGAATAAAGTGTTTGGTTAATATTCAGATAAGGTCAAAGTGTACGATACTTAAAGGGGGCTGGAGAATGTAATATCCGAAAAGGTGTAAGCTTAACAGGCTATGCTGGTCTGAATGTCAAGGCACATAACTATTTATTAAAGATTATTTTAGCGTAAAAACAGTGAAACTTTTGATGGACACTGTCGATATTTTTTAGTTTAGCATCCTCAAAACGGAATCAGAGTAAATACTTCTAAAAAAGACAAACTTCGTTTAAAGTTTCCTCCAACCAGCAAAAAAAAAAAAAAAAAAAAAAAAATTGAGATTACTTTTTAAGGAATTTTAGAAATGGTTATAATGATTTTTTGAAAGTTTTCCCATAAAAGATATGTAGATGTATTATATTTGAATGTGTAAGATTATTACTAATCATTGCTCGTTTGAATGGTTGGTCGATTGATTTTGTTTAGCGGCATATCAACAACTTTATGAGTTATTTAATAGCGAAATCTAAATATTTTGAACACTATTTTATGGCTACAATTAAATATATTTTGAATGCAATTGTATGCCTTCAATTTTGGTTGGTTGATTTTGTTTAGCGGCATATCAACACCTGTATGGGTTATTTAATGCCGAAATCTAAATATTTGGATTTTGTTCGCTTGATTTTGTTTAGCGGCATATCAACACCTCTGTGGGTTATTTAATGCCGAAATCTAAATATTTTGAACACAACTTTATGGCTTCAACTAAATATGTTTGAATGCAATTTTATGCCTTCAATTACAGTTAAAATGTATTAGACATTTTACTATAAAATCTTTTATCGGTTATTTTGCTATAATTATGTATCATTGGCAATTTTTTATTACAATGTATTTCTAGTATTTTTATTCTTTCACATGGTTTTGTTTTTTATTCGTCTGAGGCAGGTTTCATAAAACTTGAAACTAAAAGTTTTCTTTTCAATTCTTCTGCTGTAAAATTTCTTATCGAAACTGCTTTAAATAAATGAATGCTTCTTTTTATCTGCTCGACTGTTTCCCTGTTTCGTATCAGAATTTAATTCCCATCATTTCAAAGCTGAAAAGAGATATGCAAAAAAATAGCTTCATTTATAGAATCAGTTACAATATGAAATTTCTTCCATTCTTTAACGGCAGTAAGAACGTTAATTTTTAATTTTAAATTATAACGAAGATATTTTGTCTGGGCGATCGCTTCCAGCTGAAACTATGTGACGTTCGGTCTCGTTTTAATACATTTATCCTTCTAGACCGACCTTGTCATCCTCGTTAGTATAATAGGCAATCAAAACAGATACTTATCGTCACTTTTACGAGTCACATTGAAAAGAGTCTCGGTAGAAAACAAAGAAAATAATGAACGATAATCAACGAAAGAAAATAAGCAGGTAGATGTGCTCCGGTCACGTGACATCCTGAAACCCGCGTTTGAAATTCATTCAGCATTACCAAATGCTTTGTGTAACTCACAAATCTCCATAATATGCCTGCTTGTATAAAAACTAGTTGGAATTTATCAATACGTTAAATTTGCACTCATCTCACTATGTGTTTTTAAATCCTTTCTATGCTTTTTTTTTTACTAATTGATCACCACTACAAGGCCCGATAGCCACTCAATGCAGATGGTTAGGAAATGTGGTTGTTTTATCAACGTCAAAGGAGAATGTAAGAAGTACATATTATGAAGATATGTGAGCACCTCGATTTGCTGTTATGGTTAACAAGTTTGTCACGCTAGAACTGTTACAAATGAGTAGTGAGTTCAAACCTAACTGGGTGCCCCATGCTTTCGGCCTTGTGCCACATCTAAGCTGTGATTAGAAAATCATTTTGGGCACCTCGACGTGGTGTAATGGTTAGCAAGCTTGTCTCGTTAAAACAATTAAGACTGAGTAGTGAGTTCGATCCTTATTGGGTGCCCCTTATTTCGGCCTTGTGCCACATCTAACCTACACTTGGAAAATCCCTATTATGAAGATATATATGAAAGATAACAATTGAGCCTCGATTTGAAGAGATTAAGTGATCAGAGAAGGATCCTCTTTGGAACCAGTTCCATAAAGTAAAGGTTCTTGAAAAGAAGCTATCCAAATGCAGCTTCCTTACTAATGGAATATAAAGGGAATGGCGATGATTCTTCCCAGTGTAAATGGCATGGCGGATTTTAGCTGTGTTGGTCCGAACTGGTGCAACGACTGAATGTAGCTGCAGAGAACATAACGATAGATTAGCGATAGAATTGAGATGTTTCATCTATTGGAAAACTATTGTAGAGTGGCAAATAATTCATCGTTCATAAGGATGTGTAGACACTTTTTTTTAAGCGTTTCACCCCAAGCACTAGGATGCAAGGGGTTGCAGAAGATTTGGAGCGAGAGCAGATAGGAGTGATAGAAGAAAGGATGAGGAGAAGGGTAGTGGATAGATCAAGGCAACTGGAGATGTCGATTGACATTACATTTGAATAGCTGGAGATTATAGCTCTCAGGGAAACTGGAATAGGAGTTCCACAGGCGAGAGGTGCGAGACATGAAGCTATTAGAGTAGAAGAGACGGCTACATTTAAGAGTTTCGACAGTGAAGGAGTGAGAGCGGGATGCCAGCCTCGTCGGGCGCTTGAACTCATGAAGTCTGGGAACCAGCGAATGCAGCTCTTCGGAGCAATTGCCATGAAAGTATTTGTAGAACATACAGAGGGAGGCGACGGCGCGTCTGTGAGAAAGTGACTGTAGACGAGATGCCAGATCAGGGCCAATTATATTGCATATCCGCCTCTGGAGCCTATCAAGAACACCGAGGCAAACAGAAGGGGCTCCAGACCATATATGGCAGCAATACTCCATGCAAGGACGAATTGTTGATTTGTAGATATGAAGGATCGATTCCGGGGAGAAAAATTTCCTGGCGCGGCACAGGGAGCCAACTTTCCTTGCGGTGGACGAAGCAATTGACTCAATGTATTTGTTCCATCTTAGGTCAGCAGTCAACATGAGACCGAGCAACCGCAGAGAGGTGCTTTCGAGAAGTTGAGTGTCAGACATTCTAATGGAGGGAAGGGAAGGATCTCTGTGGTGATTAATAGAGAGCAGTTTTAACTTTGTTGCATTAAAGTTGACCAGCCAGTTCACAACCGATTGGAGGTCCTTTTGAACTGCAGGAAAGTGAGGAGTTGGCAGTTTCTATTTAGATAGGGTAGGAATTCGTTTGTGGTCTGATTTGGATCTTGTAAAGGCAGAGCATAGCAGGAGGAAACTGGCACTTTCTGAAACGGTACAAAGAACCAACCATTTTTTGCAACTTCATTCCTCATTATTCAATACGAGAAGTGTAACAATCGATAGAAAATGATTTCCTTGGATTATTGGTTAATATGAGCGAAAGCGGGGACAATACAATTGGATCAAACAAGCTTTACTTTTGTTGACTTATTCCTAGTTTACAAGGATATGGAGAGATGGTTTATTCCTCAACTTCATGCTCTTTCTCCCACCTAATTAGTGGATATTAACCCGCACACACCGACTTTTTTTTTTGTATCTGGTAGCTTAGTAGGCCGACACTGCCAAGGCGACTGACAAACTGTTGAATAGTGGATTCAAAAGCAAAACGAAAAGAACTATTAGAAATAGTAGTCAATGGATGCAAAAAGAAAGGGTTTGACTATTGTAATGACAAGGGAATGAATGTTAGTGAGCAAAATGGACAGCCCAAGATCTGAGTTACACATCAGGGACGTCAAAATGAAAGAAAAAAAAAGATTGCAAAAATAAAATAAAAAAAAGATTGCAAAAATAAAATAAAAATAAAATTAGAAATTAAGAATATAGATCTGCATTTAATGCCCACCCTTCTATATGAATTTGAAATTTGGACAATTTCGTTATAAAGAAAAAAATAAAAACCTGTGGCAATCGAGATTTGGTCTTATCGACAAATGTTTCGAATAACATGAACAGGGTATGCGACAAATGAGGAAATTCAAAGGATAGCTGTGACTACAAAGCAATTGTTGCTAGCAATCAGAAAGAGATAGCCTAAATATTTTGAACACATGATGAGGAAAGAAGGCTTAGAGAATTTAACATACACAGAACCCATCGAAAGCGAGAGAAGCAGAGACAAGTAGAAAGTAAATTTAGATGGAGAAACAAGCATCACAAAAAGAAAGAAAGGGCATAAAGAATTAAATATTGCTAAGAACAGCAAAAGACAGGACGTTGTGGAGAATCGCTATCACCCACATAATGGCATTGAGACAGAAAACCTATTTTACAGGTTTCAGTAAATGAATGCAAGAATAAATAACTGAACGAAGAAAAAAGGCCATAAAGTATCAAGTCTTCCTGAGAACAACAAATAAAAGGAAGCTGTGAAGAGCCATGCTCGTCCACACCTTTAAGATATAGAGAGCCTTATTTGACATAAACTTATAAGTTATTTTATCTTTTTACGTAGACGAAAAGTTCTTGAGAGTGCTTCTATCGAATCTTGCCAAAATGTAAATGCGCCCTGGATCTTTTCAAACATCTCCTTTCCTAGAAGATAAATTCTTTTCCTGAACTAACACACATGACCATAACATTTAATATAAAGCGGTTAAATCAAAACGTTCTATTATTTAAATTAAATAGATACATAAATAATTTATCAAATCAAAATAAAATAATAATGTTTATATTAAAAAAGAGATGAGCGGTTATAACTATTTACATCATCTGGATTGTTGCCCTCATCTTTATCGCCATAGTCATAACGTTTCGGCTATTGTACCCTCCATCCTTCTTCAGGTGATATACGATGAAATTCGAAACCGAACCTTTTATTTAGTCCACGAGGATAGATTGTTCTAATTCCACGTGCCATACCTTTTATGGTTATCTCAATTAATTCTCATTAGGAATTTTTTTTAGTAAGTTTTGTTCCCTCTGCTGTGGTTCGGGACTGAACTCACAACATTTTGCATTACTTAACCAATGTCTCAAACAAAGAACATTTTTGAAAACCTAATGATATTTATAATTTTTGATTATTTGTCTCTAAATACATGCTGCAAAATAAAATTCTTACATTTATCTTGATAAAGTCCATCAGAGGACGAAACACGCCGGTAAAGAATAGTTTTCCTTTTTTATTTTTATTTTTATTTTTGTGCGTGTGTGTGCGCGCGCGTGTATATATATATATATATATATATATATATTAAAATAAATATATAATATAAAATAAAATATATATAATATATATAATAAAATAAAACAATGGTAGCTATTAATACTTGCAAATGATATACGCAAAATATAATTTAACGTATATGAAATATAATAGAATTTCTGCTAATAAAGTTCTCCATATAAGACTAGAGCAGTAATTATTATTAACATATAAGTTAAAAACGTTCAATACTTATCGAAGGTCAACTCAGAGTTTCGCAAATTTTGAATCATTCATTGGGATTCATGAGAGAATATATATGTATATCTATATATGTATATCTATATACGTTTTTAGAAAATTAGTTCATTTCCTTTTGGAGTTTTTGTTCTCCAATGATGTTCACTCTGTACAAGGCCCAAGAGCCACTTGAGGGGTTACAGAGTAAGAGGCATCACCCCCACGCAAGTTGATAATTCCACCAAGACACAAGGGAAAGTGAAAGGAAAGACTTTAGAAGGAACTGGAAATCCAATCTTAAACAGGAAACAAAGGATACATCTCTACTCCTGTTCAAAAGATCAGGGAGGAGTCTGAACCGGATGATAGGTGTAAGATAGAAATTCTGGTGTGAATAATTGTCTAACAAGAAACAAGGAACCAACTTTCCTGGCTGAAAACTTAGCAACTTTTTTTCTCCAATGATGTTCACTCTGTACAAGTCTCAAGAATCGCTTGAGGGGTAAGAGGCATCACCCCCATGCAAGTTGATAATTCCTCCAAGACACAAGGGACAACCATAAGTGAAAGGAAAGACTTTAGAAGGAACTGGAAACGTAATCCTAGACAAGAATCAAAGGATAAACCTCTACTCTTGTTCAAAAGATCAGGAATTACGATCGGATACTAATCTACTCCTATTGAGGAAAAAATGTAAATAGTTTTAAGATGAGATGCTAGAATTATAGTAAACTTTAAGTAGAATTTAAGAGGCCCTAAAAACCCTAAGCAGGAAACAAGGAATAAAAATCTACTCCTGTTCAAAAGGTCCGGGAGGAGTGTGAACCGTACAATAGGCGAACCTATTCAAACTTTGTTTGAATTTTCTCTCATTTCGCACAATCTTTTGAAATTACTTCCTCGAGATTTTTATTTTTTCTTAAGGGAATTGTCTTAAATTGATTTTCATGGCGCATTATTTTTTTTTTTTTATTTCCCTTCATAAATTTCCGATTAAACTTTGCCCGTTTTTTGGACTCTTCTTTTTATTTTTTCATATTGTTTTTAATTTATCATTTAAATTTTTTAATTTTCCATCTTTTATTTTCGTTTATTTCATGATGCATTTGATATAACCTTGCATATCTTTTGATGATTGTAAATTTAGTAAAATATCAATTCCCGTTGTTGTTAATTGATAAAATGTGACATAACTCTTCACAAAACATCAATCAGCGAACAATGTTCTTTGGTTGAAACTGCTTATATCAACGCCCAACACCGACTCTTATTTTGCTTTTCGTCATTTTACTGGCATGTCAAAACCGTATATAAAAAAAAAGAAAAAAAAAAGTGTGTACCTGAGAAATCCACTCCCTCAAATTCAGTTATCTACCTAGGCAGTAGGAACAAAAGGGCTGCTATATTCATTTTCAGTATTGACAATTTTATTACGATTTTGTATTCTAGTCGAATTATATATTATTATAGTTTTCCCAATTATTAATTCTAATTTATTTTTAATTTCAGTTCGGCGATATAATTTCTTTGCCAAGGTCAAGGGCTTCGACGGCAGGCAGTTCGATTTACGATGATCCTGATTATGTGCGTTTTCAGCAGCGGTCTCCGGCATGTCGACTAAGTATTCCTGATCGATTCCGAAATGGCAGTATCGATTTTCGCCTGGGACACCCGCTGTTAAACAACACATCAGACAATCCTTATCCGATTCAAAGACGTATGGGTCCCCGACGATCAGAACCCATATCTTTACTGTTGCAAGTACCGCCCTCAGTTAGAACAAATCCACCTCGTCCTACGCGACCGGCGCCTCCACCACCACCAAGTCGTAAATCGGCAGTTATTACATCAACTGTAGCGCCATCTATAGCTACATCATCACCTGTGGAGACAACAGCTGGGGAAAATGTTGCAACATCATCTACACCAGTAACAACTTCTGAGGCGGGAATAACTTCGACGACGACGGCGGCTGCAACAATACCGACGTCTGTGACTCAGAACTCGCAGGCTCCAGCTCAATTGCAAGTTTCAGATCCTGTACCCGCGTCTATCTCGATATCTGCGCCAATTCCTATACAGATCCCGGTTACAACTCAGAACTTGATTCCGGTTAAAACTCTGGAACCAGAGGAGACACAGGCTGAAGAACAAATACTCGAGCCAACGCCAGTTCAGGAGCAAAACCCAGTTTCATCGTCTGCTCAAGACCAGATCACACCTCCAGGTTCGATGCAGACCCCATCTTCGAGCCAGTCCTCTGTCGCAGTCTCGAATCCACTCCAAGACCAAACGTTGGATACAGTTTCCAATGAAACACCTGTCTCGGTCGAAAACCTGACTCCTGCTCAAAGCCCAGTCCTTCCTCAAGCCCCAGCAGAGCTTCAGCCTGTGCCACAAGCACAGGTTTTATTAAAACATCCCCAGCATCTAGTGCCAGACTCAGAGAGACGAGCCGAACAGTCTGCAGCAGAATCCTCAGATGTAAAACAGAAAACACCACCACCAACTCAACCAAAACCCACTATACCGCCGGCAGTCCAACCAAAACCTGTGTTAAAGCCCCAGTCCTTATCCCAAACTCAACTTCAACCCCAGTTAGTAAACCAACCAGACCCCGAATTACAACACACGCAAGAAGTTCAGGAATGACGTGAAAAAAATTAAGAAAAGAAAAAGAAAAATTGAAACGACTTCGGTGAACACCCGGGAAAAAAAAGAGCGAAAAGTGATATTTTTATCACCTAGACCAAATTTCATAAAGGATCTGTCTACAAAAAAAAAAAAAAAAAAATTAGGTCGGGATGGTGAAAGTTATTTATCGTGATGAAGAATGAAACCCTGTAGCAGCAGAATCCGATGTAATTGATAACTTAATAAGTTCATTGTGTGGGGACGGACGACCTGTAAATAATTACATCCCTTACACCTGAACTGATCGGTTTGTTTCTGCGATTCGACAACCTGACAACCTGAAGATAATAACAAAATCGAAAGCATGATGATGATATAGATGAAGGATCATCATCATCATCTATATTTGTATGTTAGGCCATAACTTCGTTTATGCCAACAGTAAAAAGCATCATTTTCTCATAAAAGAGAAATTTATATATATATATATATATATCTAACAGTCCTAATTTTCCCAAGACATTTGGCTTTTTCGTTCCGCATTTATTAAGACCAACATTTTCCCGCAAATTATAAATACCTAATTTTACCTTCTTTTTTTTTTTATTGATTTCTTATGTTTTTTATTTGGTTTCATATTCTGAATACGTATTTTTAAAGAAATTTTCAATAACACTGGAGATCAAGAAAAATACATTATATTAACACTTGAATAAATTTTGGTAATAAAAAATACATTGCAGTTCACGCAAGTAGACCACGTGATCAAAGAGGTGTCCTTTAATAAACAAGCAAGATTTATATCGCAAAATATGATAGACAAAGCTGATCTTGACACAAAGCTAGCTCTAATAAGCACCTAACAAGGGCCAAACATTACAGTAGACATATAAGAAAGTTTTTAAAAGAACTATTCACCAATTTTTATGGTTCTCAACAAAGTGCGTTTTCTACAATTCTGATAAAACTATTGAAAACTATTTTTTAACAATCGTATTCAAAATGAAACATTTTTGAACTCATTTCATCCACACAAAACTTGTTGGGAACACATTTGGGAACAAGGTATGACAACGATGACATTTGTTCTTTTGTATTTAAAAGGAGGTTTGTTGTTCCTTAAACAAATGCTCCCTTGATAAAACAATGCCATTAATGTTTTATCAGAGATTTCTTTTCTCTCTCTGAGTATATATTTCTTTTATCGCTTCCAGCATAAAAAAAAGGCTTAAAGTTTTTTCTTCTTTTTTTTCTTCTTTTTTTAATAATTTTTCTTTGGAAAACAAATTGAGATAAAGATGACTAAAAATACCTTTTTTAACTTTTGCTTAATAAAAATTAATGGAACGTTAAGCTGGAGTTTTTGATGACCAGTTCTTTTTGGCAAAGTTCCTACCTGCAAAAGAAGAAACAAAATCTCGGTGTGACAAAAGGACATTCTTTTTCTCTTAACACCAATATTACTGTATACTTACTTGGCAATTTTATTGCTTCAAATCCTATTTTAGAATAAAATAAAACAATACAGAAACCTCACAAACCTTGTGTAACGACAAAAGTACGCAAGTGTAGGCTTTAAGAAAGTTTTATTCATCTGAGTATAGTGTCCTTTTATAGTCCCAGTAAACAGAAATAGCTCTCTCAAAGAGGAGAGTAAGGGGAGACCACTCTTGATTATTCATAGCACACGGATTTATGCATTCCTCTTTCTTGAGAATTGACAACAAAAGATTAAACATCATTTGTTTTATTAGTTTGTTTATTTACAAGAATAATTTTATATTTACAAGTTTATTAAAATATTTGAACCAACTACAATGCAATATTTATTATCTACCATATTAGAAAGAAATAACTATGAAAACAATTTTTTATTCATAAATTTATAAAAAAGTCTTGAACAGGAGAAGAAGAAAATTTGAATAAATGCATAACAACGCCTAACTGTAAATTTCTAATATGCATGTTTCTGAAATTTCTTTCATTTGTTCTATAGTTATATAAATTCACTAAAACAGTTTATGAGGATCAGGATTTATATATTGTTTTCTCGAGTATGGACAATAACATTGTTAAACACTATTTATTTTTGTTTGTCAATTCCTGAGAAGAAAAAGAGTATAAATCCAATTTCATATATTTGGGTTTTATTAAAATTCTAAAAATAACTTTTTAAATCAATAAAAATTGCCGAAGGCGTACACAGTAATGGCGATATCAAGAGAAAAACTGTACTTTTGACAAAGCGTTTTTTGCGGGTGCGTATGTTAAACGTTGCCCATTTTTTTTATTTAAACATAGTTAAGAAATAAACGCTAGAAAATCTAAAATATGAATTTCAATCTGAATCATTTCCACCATCTGCCGGTGTTATAAAAAGTATTAGAATATATTTATATGATTTTTATAAAAATAAACAATAAAGAAAAAAATGAAACTCTCCAATACATACATACATACATAATGGCTGGCTTCTTGTTATAAGAGAACAGCCGTCTTCTAGGGCGCGGTTAGCGAGTCCCTGTTGTGCAGATGTTTGCTCAGTGTTTATTCAATACTCACAGAGACCCCATTTATACCCAGCAGATCTATAGTTACAGTTTCTGGGGGAGAGCACATACTCTGGCGTGATCAACAATTCTTTTTAAACTAATCTCGAACCTTCGGTCACGATGACTTGTGACTTCGTGCTAGCTCAACCACCGAGGCTACCGAACAGTTCAATCTACCCAATTCTTTCAAGTGATATATATATATATATATAATATAAAAGGCTCAAACACTAATATTCCATGGTTATAATTTATCCAATTCATCAGTCCTACAAGTTCAAATAGCTATTTGAACTTGTAGGTCTGATGAATTGGATCGTGATTACGATTCCAATGTAATAAATTATAACCATGGAATATTAGTATTTGAGCCTTTTTATATTATATTCTTACTCTGTCTTGGACATTGAGTTCTACCTGGATCCTATCCTCTTGGGAATATATATATATATATATATATATATATATATATATATATATATATATATATATATATATCAACGCTATGAAAGCTTTTATAGGAAAAATATAATTGAAATGGAGAATGATGGTTATTTATCACCAGAACATTTTGCTATGGAACATCTGTACGTTCAGGTCGACAAGAATAAATAAAAAATGCACATATTTACATGGACATTGGCAAATGCAAAAAATTTTTTGCAGTCTAAATTTCAATTGAAAAAAGGGACATCAATCGCTGCAGTTACTTTTGCAACGAATGGAAATTGGCCTTACGCTGGGGTGGGTGGGATATCAGTCATTTTCTATGGATGTAAACTAATGTCTGACGCCTTGCTGTGACCAGCACAAAACATGATATGCATGGAAGCTGTCTGAAGTTGTCTTCTATTCTTTTCATTTTTTTTCTCGTGCAGATTTTTGGAAGTGAGAGACTGTGAAAGTGTTTTCTCTTTATCAATTTATTCCCTACCATGATTCTATTTTTGTCCTAATAGCGAAAATAATAAAAATGATCCCACCAAGGTGCAGGGTTTTTGTGATCTTTTTCTGGTCAGTACAAAGCGAACGCTCCAAGAAGTAATATTTTGTAGCTGTGTGCGAAGAAATGGTCAAATTTAAATCAAACTTTTATATAAAAATCTTCATTTTTATAAACCTAGACAATCTGATTCTTAATTTAAAAAAACAAAAAACAAAACAACGCCCGGTTTTCGATGATTTCTTAAATTTTCATCTAATTCAAATATGCCATTGCTGGCAGTTTTTGATATCGTTTCTATATATAAAAATTCTTCGCATATTACGAAATAAGCCTAATAGGGGAGTTGTTTCAGGCTTTCTAAGAGCTTCTACTACTCCATCACACAAAAAATAATTCTATATTCTGTCAAGATTGTCATGTAGCAAAAAGGTTGACTGACATCCTAACTCACCAAAAAGCTGTGTTTTCTCTTCCAGTGCATTCATTTGAGCAAAATTATCACGAGAAATATATTTTTCATTGCCAGTAACTATTTAATCCAAATGACACTTTGAGCAAGGAAAAAAACAAACAAAAAAAAAACAGTTTAATTTCCGTTGATTCAAATTCACGTGGAGTCCATTTTTTTTATTTTTTCATAGGTTTTGAAGTGACCATGATACAGACCATAATAGTACAAGACAGAACAAGCTGAATGAACATCAATAGACGCTTCCAAAATGTCCCTAACAGGATGCAAAAATTGTCCACCTATACAAATACCAAAATAATATTCTATTTTTCAAAATTTCAAATGCACCTTTAAAGTAAAAAAGTTAAAATGCATCTTAAAATAAAAAAAAGTTCAAATGCACCAGAAAAATATTAAAAAAATTAAAATGCATCACAAAAATAAAAAATCCAAATGAAGATTGAGAAAAAAAGCGTATAAATGCAACTTGAAAATAAAAATGAGAAAAAGAATTTTATTCAAAAGTTATTTAAAATTAAATTTGGAGACAGTTCACTGGTTGCTGTTTCCGACTGGTAGTTAGGAGCCCTAACTCTTGCGTAGCGTCTTGAGCGGCCGCTCTGATCAACAGTTGTATAATACCGGGGTGTTTTAGTGCCATGACGCGCATGGAAAGGTGTCCCCTGCAGTCACCTCCGGTGGCAAAACCCTGAGGCCACATTATGATGCAGGCTGTGCCAACTCCTCTCTGCTCATGTTGCGGTCGAAAACCATCTGCTTCTCTTACTTCAGGCCTTCTCATCTTCCAACAATTACTCCACATAAGGACTCAAATGAACCAAAAAAGTAAACCTAAACCAGCCCCTCAAAAATCACCTAAACCCCTCAACATTTCGTTCTCCAACATCCATGGCATTAGAACAAATTTCTGCAGTATGGAATCTTTCCTCACTGCAAATTGCCCGGATATACTGGCTCAGTGTGAGACAAACCTTGTCTCGTCTATTCCCTCCTCTGATCTCTCGATCCCCGGCGACCTTCCTCTCCTCAGGAAAGACTCTCTAACACA